AATTGTAACCTTCCCTATTATTGTTATTCTCTTCTAGAAAGATAATTACTGATTCAGATCTTTCCAAGAATGATGTTAAAAGAAAAGCCACTTCACCTGTTTAAAACTGTGTAGTAATTCTGTTCAAACGATCTGTAGATGTAAGACCATTAAGTGTGATATAAATACCCTGTTACCATGGGATTGGCTGCGTGTCACCCGTGGCTCACCTCTCCCCATGAGACCACTCTCTTCTAATTTCCTGCCTCTTCTTTCCAGAACACAGGACAGCAGGGGTGGTAATGGTGATCTTTGCAGCTGTTGTTGCCAGAGTGAGATGGCTTTCCAAGGGCTGTGTGTGCATATAAACACGTGCTACAGTGAGCTTTTGGGTGGTTAGTTTTTCGAAGCTATTGATTTTCGCATTTATACCAGAGATTCAAATGTGCCTCTGATCTTTTGAGGGTCAATTTTGCATACACGAAAACAAATGGTGAACTGGAATGATATCTCCTAAGATGTAATTTCCCAAGCAGGATACTTTAAACCCAGTACATTCCAATCAGAAATGCAAGAAGAGCTGCGTTATTGACAGAGGTGGCACAACCCAAGCCCTGATTATTTCTTGCTTTTCTTTTTGTTAGAGATACACCATCATCCTCTAAGATCTTTGACCTGCTAATAAACATTTTCAGTATGTTGAGGAATCACCTTGCTTGTACCGACCGATGCTTTTGAAGGCTTCATTCCAGCATCCAAATCCCTCACCTCTCACCCAGCACTACAGAAATAATCTTAATCAAGGTACTTGCATAAAGGGCTTTTGGGAGTTGTGTATGCAGTAGTACCTATTGCATGTTCATTTTTTGTGTGCTCACCTCTTACATGCATTTTGCAGAGTCTTCATTTATTAAAGAGAGCTCAGGCCCCGTCACTGTGATGCTAACACCAGTATCTGTTGGTGCATTCTGTTTTGTAAGGCTGATATGCACATGGCTGATTCACAGGAATACTGCTGTAATTACTGATTGCTAAGAATGAAATCTTTTCAAGTGATGGAGCTTGAAGCCCACACTGCAGCCCAACACCTTAGTGTTTGTACAGGACAGTTTGATTTTGACTTCTGTGGCCTTGAATTGCTACGTAAGTAGAAGTATTAAATAATAGAAGTGGAGTACCTGTTACACTGTATTATTTTGTTATCTGCAGTGTATTTGATGACTCATAATGATTTCAGGGGAATTTGAGAAAATAAGGTGTGCATGGGCAGTGAGCTGCACCTCGCTCAGGCTCCATTAGTGCACAGCTCAGCACTGAGATCAAAAGGAGGTAAGAGAAGAATGGCAGTTACTTCATGTTGGGAAAGGCTGTACATCACCCTCTAAGATGCTTTAATCATCATCTCGGCAGGTTTACCGTGGATTTTTATCAGATTTTGTCAGAAAATCAACCATGATTCTTAGAGATGTAATTATTTTGAGTAACCAGTGGGCAGCACGAACTCCAGTGGTAGGACTTAAGCTACTGTCATCCATTAACTTTGTACTTCATTAGATTATTCTGCCAAATGAGGGACCGGTCCTGCCACATGTACTACTGGACGCCGACTTTGTACTGTGCTGCACTGCAGATAGGTGTAGGTGAGTGTAGGTGCATTTTGTAGTGGTGTAAACCTGAAATAACTCCAGCAGATTCTCCATAGCTGTTCTGGGTATGTGCCTGGTGTAGAAACTAGCCCTGTGTTGCTGCTTTGTTCTGGGAAGGCTGCTCAGAGGCTCTTCTCAGAAGGCTGTAGAAGTTACTGAGCCCTTGTTGAAAATTTAATTTAATCCTGAATTCTTTTGAGGTCTTCAGTCTGACTAAAGACCTCAGAATTAGTCCTGACTTGCAGAGTGTCAGCACTGTGCATGAGCTGCACTCTTGTTGTGTTCTTTTATTAAAGAATGGGTTTTGTGAAGAACAAAGGCAGTAGCTGAAACAAAGCAGATACCTGTATGTATTATGCAGTGTTAAATTCTTACTGTGTCATGCCGCTGTCTGAGCTCAGTGCTAAGCTGATTTCACTGAAAATGTCACCACAGCTGATGGGCATTTTCTCCATGGACACATTTTGTCCTGCTGCTAGTGCTAGTGAACGAGTCTCTTCAACTCTCAGTGCTGTCCTGTCTTCCTTGATTTTACTCTGCAGCAGAGAAGCTTTGAGAATTAACAAAATGATTCACTTCTCTTGGCGTTAATGTCTTTAACCCCAGCAGCAGCTTCCTCATGGCTCATTCTCCATACATCTCTATGCTAGAGATCCTCTCTCTTGGAGGAACAGTCAGGCATGGCATGTGTAAGTGGTCTTCCAGCATGCTGAGCACATTGTAATTCCCAGATCTTGTCCGTTCTCTTAGATAACATGTTGCTGAAGAAACAGAAACATTTAATTGAGCCAGGAAACTTTCAGGATTGGATTTACTTTCTCATCTTTTTAGTTGTGATTTATATGCCCCAATAATGAAGTGATTTTGCTTTTTGCTTCATTTGTTTTAATCTTTAAATTATGGCATCATTTTTCACGTGGAAGCTGTCATTTCCAAGCAGAGTTCCATCCAAGCTAGACTGGATGAGATGGGCCAGTAGCAGTCTGGTTTAAGTAGATGGGTAAATTACTTCAAAATGCTGTCTGGTCTGAAATTGGTTTGTAAGAAGCCATTTAATGCTGGCTCAGAATCTGGGACAGTGCTTTTCAGATTAAACTCCATCAAACTCAAAATTAATTTCCAAGTTGCCTACCTTTAGAAACAGTGAGTTTCTAAAAATGTTTTGTCTGGGGAGAAAAGAAATGCAAACCTGTTTTTGTAACTAGATTATTTGTACAGTTTATTTGTAAAAAGAGCATATTCCTGTTCAAAATTTTTACAGCCTATCAGTACATTCCTTGCTTTCCCCCCCAGCTCTGTACAGAATGTGAGCTGTTCCTTGGGAAAGTGCAGTGCTAGCTCTTCCAGTCTTCTGTTAATTATTTCAGATGCTCTGATGATCTCACATGGAAGGCATTTTGAGCCTAAATACACTGTTAATGTCCTTGTTATCATGCTTCTCTTACGACTTCAGAAGCTGTGGACTGTGGATGTATTAAATTTTGTCCTCCGGCATCACATGTTAACATGGTGTCTCAGGGAAGGAAGTGCATGCTGCTGTGACAGTGCTCTCAAGGCAGGTTGTTTGTCTTTTCTATTGACTATATTCACACATATACACATATTCACACATTTTTTTGCATTAGGATGAATGTGGCAATAATTTGGAAATTCACAATCTTTCAGACTAGGACCATTACCTGGATAGTACTGTTCAAAGTGTGGGGACCAAGAGGTTTGTGAGCATAAGTCATGATGAGACAGGTCATCTTGTTCTGGCTAACTTGTCCTGGTCTCTAAGGATCCTGTTTATTCAAGGGGAAGATTCCCGCTTGCATCATGCTGCTGTGGTTGTGGTTTAGCCCTGGCAAGCAGCTAAGCACCATGCAGTCACTTGCCAACTTCCACCCCCCTGACTGAATGAGAGGAAGAGAATCAGAAGGGCAAAAATTAGAAAAACCCTGAGGCTGAGACAAAGGCGGTTTAGAAAGTAATGACGTAATGATGTAAAGGATGCAGAGCACAATGGCTGACCACCCACTGGCTGATGCCCAGGCAGTCCCCAGGCAGCAGACCCCCCCTCCCTGCCAACTCCTTCGGTGTTATTGCTGAGCATGATGCCACATGGTGTGTGATGTCCCTTTGGTCAGCTGTGTCACATTACAGCTCCTTGTGCTGCTTGGCAGCTTGAGAAACAGAAGGGACCGTAAGTCTGGGTAAGCACTGCTCAGCAACAACTGAAAGATACCAAGATGCCAATTAAAGAAAATGAACTCTATCCCAACTGAACAAGCACTCTTGCTGTCAGACTTTGGAGCACAGCTGGTTGCTGCAGTGTTTTGGCAGAGTTGTTGTCACATTTATCAGCTGAGCATTCTGGTTTTATGGCACCATGCTCTGCCTGTTACAGGCTAGGATTAGGATTTTGGGAAACTACAGTATCTTTGTACAGTGATAATACTTAATGATTTTATCCTTCCAAGATTTTAAGAAGGCTACTTGGCTGTCTTGGCTCCCATCTCTGAGCTCAGTGGCCATCCTCCCCAGTTGCTCTCTAAGGATTTAACATCTATAGGCTAGTGCTTCCAACGTGACTTTTGTCCCTCCCAGTGTTTCTTGCTCTGGTGGGTCTCAAAGAAGAGCAAGTGGTAATTCTGCACATAGGTTTGGAATATATTGGCTGTTCTTTTTCCAAGAGCTCTTGATAACGTTATGTAAAATCAGACAGGAGAATGAAAAAAAACCCAAACATTTCAAGAACATTTTAAGAAGAGAATGCACATAAAACTGCACTGGCTGTACTTGGTAATGTCCAAAATTCTCCTTTCCTGAGAACTTTCCCTTAGATAAAAAAAATACTTTAAAAAGTGAGTTCTGACACTTCCTCCCCTTGCCTTTCATCCATGTCTTTTTTGTTTGTTGCAGGTTTTGTTTTGTTTTGATTTCTTCTAGAGAAGAATGAAGACCATTTTCTTGCTTAGCCTGTGTGTAAATGCATTCTCTAGCTATTGGTTTCCAGGCTGGAAGAGCACTCTGTCCACTGCACTGTTCTGTTTGTCTCAAGGTGGCCACCAGGCAGCACTGGGGGAATGCCCCATAAGAGGAATGATCAGAAAATAGCAGTGGTCTCACAGCAGCACTGCAGTAGCTCCTATTTTCCCGTGTCTGAGGAGTATTTTGAGTAGGTAGACATGCCCTCATGACATCAAACAAGCAGGGAAATAAAAAGGAATTCAAATTCATTATTTCATTAAAAATCCTGTTTCTGTCTCAATGCTGTTTTGCAAGGTCTTCCCCACTGTTCCTTAATAACTAGACTGAAATTGCCTAATGTATTTTTAGTGAAAATAACTCACTGTTATTCTTTTGTATGCTCTGCTGTTTTTATTGCATTAGGGATGAGACACAACAGCATCTGAACTTTTATGGAATTACCGGTTGCTTTTGTGCCACTGATAGACTTTACAGAATGCTAAATTTCAGGTAAAATTTAGTAACTAATGGTATATCTGAACAACTGATCTTCTTTCTTTGTTCTTTCTTTAAGTGCACAATTGGGAAAAGTGAGACAAACTCATCACTGATGCACAGAGCTGTTTGTGCTTGGCAGCTAGGCAGACAACAACTGCTGTTGAAACACATTTTTTGATTCTCTTTCTTCTGTTCATCATTTGGTCACCACACTTGGTTCCTCGTTGTTGTTTTTCTGAAATTGAGACTTCGCTTGGATTTTGGTTTTGTTTAGTTATCCTGTTTGAGATCATGAAATATCCATTGGATGAGTGAGTATATAACAAACTGTTTGTCAATTACTTGCCAAAGGTACATGCAATTATTAAGTTTGCCAGACAGTTTTAATTTTCGAGGTGGAGCTTGTAGTTAAGTGCTACTGAGAAAAGAAGTTCAGGTTCTGTGACTTGAACCAAGCAGCATATGTACTTCATGCACAGAGGATAGCTGTGGAAGATAAAGAGCGTTACAGGCATAAATGAAGACCTGGTATAAATGTGCAGCAAGCCAGTGTTTTCAGAACAAGTTGCTGCTAAACAGTGTGTCTGATAAAGACTGCTGTCTTAGGCATTGTCCTGATGGTAAATCATTTTACTGTAATGTCTGGCTCTCAGTTACATAATCGAGCCTTTTTCCTTAGCAGCTATGAATGTTGGAAATGACATTTTTTTTCCTTTTAATAGATAATTGGATTGGAGGACAGCCAGCATAGCCTGTGATCTGGACATCATCAAACAATTGCAACTGCAGCATCTTGCTCCTGTGGGTGAACATCCAAACAACACGTGGCTGCAGACTGCAGGGGATGGCTGTGCAGGTCGAGGTATGTTCAGGGCTGTGGTAATTTCAAGATTTTTATGGAATGCCTGTATTCCTAACACTGATATCCAAAGGGAAGTTAAGGTGTCCATTTCATTGAGCGCTCCCTATATCTTACCACAACTATAGGTAAAAGATGCAGATGTTCACAAGGGATTCCATGTATCCCTTGGTGGTGGTGAATAATTTTCTACTGATGATTGTAAGGCTTCGGAGACTTGTGGCAAATGGTACTCGGTGTGCAAGGAGGAGCCCAGAGCTTGAGGTCTCAAGAAAGGTTGTAGATTAATATGTGGGACATCTTTTTGTTCTTTGGGGCCCGTGTGTCATCCTTGTTGCTGTATACTTAGCATGTATAGTCAAACAGAAAGCAATTCTTAATACAGGAGCTCTTACCGCTTCATTTTGTACTTGCTGTATATTTTGTATTCAGGTGCAGGCAACACATTTCAGGAAAAATAATTGGATCCTTGAAAATGGGAGTACGTAAGAAGTACAAAGTAAATGCATTTACTTTTGGCAGAAATTCTGGACAGTGCAGTACTTGATCCAAGGGAGTAAGAAGGCTATTATCATCCATTATCTTTCTGTGCTTAAAGCCACATTTTCCTGAGTGCTTTTCCCCTGTGTGAGTGCTGATACTTTCAGCATGAGGAAGGATCTGAGGTTCCCTTACAGTGATTATACTGCATCACCTCATGTTCTCGAATGTAGGATGCACTACCAATCATTCATGGACAGTGACTTTCATCAGGCAAAGCAATTTGAAGATCAGAGGTTGCTAGGAATAAACAAAGAGTTTATAATGAACAGAAAAATGAATTCATTAAGAGAAAGTGCTGCATCTTCAGAGTTCAGGAAGATTAGGGATACAAGATAATTGCAGACGACCAGTGGAGTTGGATCTGGCAAAGGAAATTTAAAAAATGCTGCAAAAGTCCTTAGTTGTGTAAACGAGTGATTTTACAGGATAAAGATGTATGATTTGTATTTAACTTTCCACATTGGTTACATTTTTGCTAAAGTCAGTATAGCAAATTACAATACTGCATATGAAATTGTAGTTCCTCCTAGTGAATATAGACAAGGTACTGGCACTTGTCATGCAAAGCAGTGAGCAATCATAGCTGCTCCAACAGAACTCTATGTCTGGTTTTAACATTTTTTTCTTTAATGCCACATTTTTGTGTAGTTCAGAATTTAGGAAAATCAGCATTACAAACAGTCTCAATTTGGTTTAAAAAGCATTGTTTGGTAACGTGTTCCTACCATGGCTTTATTAGTTTGTGCATATTTAAGCGGGATTAAATGTATAATTACTTTCTGATTTTATGTTGGAATATTTTTGTCACTTTGACTTTCCTAGCACAACAAATGCAGGGTGCTGGTACTGGAAATGAATTGATTATAATTTTTGTTTCATATAAAGATCTGCATATGTGTCACAAAAGACTTCTGGTCTCACCATTTCCACTGAATGAATTTGAATGAAGGAGTACTTTACCAGGAACATGAATATGATGAATCACTTCCTGAGCAAAAGTCCAAATTACTGCCTTTCAGAATGCAGGGTATTTGATAAATTCATAATGGACAGATTCCCTGCTGGTGATGTACACTGTACTAGAAATAAGGAATAAATTGCCAGTGGAAATTTGCTTTATATACCATAGTGATCTTGATACGTATCCTTACCCGTGGCTCCTCACTGCGTACTTAGCTGGCATAACAAATGACATCTTAGAGCAGGCTGATCCTGGCTGCCAGTAGTGTTTTCCTTTTTCCTCCTCATCACACCTGTCATCTCCTCCATTTGCATGCTAGCCCACTGCCTGTGTTATTTAATCATGATTATTGAAATGAGGAATGAGGTTCTGCAAGAGCGCTGCTTGTAAATACCGCCTGAGAGCGTGGGTAATGTGTATCTTTGCTCTGGCTTTGTGGGAGCAGTTCCATCCGTAGTGAATGCCAAGCACCACAAGTTTAGAAGGGAAAACAAGGATTGGATCTGTGTTTTGCTGGAGATGAGCCGCTGTGTACTGTGACAGGCGCTCAGACCACATTATCCTTGTAGATGTGTGACTAACAGAGGAGCTTTGGGACTTGGCAGAGCTAATTATGCTGAGAACTCGGTGTCCGCACGTGGATTCCTGCCAGGCGGAAAGGAACGGCTGCACGCTCAGCAGGTGGCCCTCAGAGAGCCCTGAGCTCAGCAGGGCTGGTGCTGCCTCACACCTGTGCTGGGCGCCTTGTGCCGAGAGACTGTGGGCAGCTTTGCTGTTATTCATGCAGTCCATTTGCATTTGGGAGTATTAAAAGCTTTCCTGGTGTGATTTCTTCACCAGCACAACTTGCAGTTGACTCTGTGCTCTCGCGATTTCAGCTAGGCTGCCTCTTCCCTACCTGTTGTGCTTCTTTGCAGGACTGATATGGAAGTGATGCATCACACAGGCCTAGTGATGGCAACGTTGCAATTACTTTGTACACAGATGTATTTTTAACATGCTGGATGGCAAACAGCAAACTTTCCAAGTGCAGTTTGTTTCTGACAGAAGCATTCTTAGTCCATAAGGCACTCGTTGTTTAATCCAGATTCTTTTATCTTTCTCTTATCTAGCAGTTAGGATTGTTAGGATGCAGGCTAATTACTAATGAAAAGAGTCTGATCAATACAGCTGGTATAACTTGAGAGACTGTTCTTGTGATGCTGTGTGTAGGAGCAGAGGGTGGCTTATGCAGAGGCCCTGAGCTGCAGCAAAATATCCTGCTAACCTACAACTTTGTCTGGTTAAGAAGCTGATTCCTCAATGCTTGTGTGATGTGCTAAGATGCCATGTTTAAGCAAAAACATTTGTACCCTTATTCACTGTTACCCATGGAGCCTGCAGAGCAGAAGCATACAGACACAAGAACACATGGCTGGCTGTGCCCCATGGCGTGTGTTTGTGTGTGCATGTCTGCAGGGCGGTTTGCAGGGCATATGGAGCCATTTCATGTTTGTGTACAAATACTTTAGAGCAGTTTATTCAAAATCAAGTCTGAAGTACTGATGAGATCCCTGGGACTTTTTATTGAAAATTCACACTTTAGAAAGGATTGATATTCATCATTACAGTTTCTTTAAATGGGACAAACAGACATTTAGGATTCATACTGCATCCGTAATTGAATTTGACGATGATAAAATACATGCTGCCATTGCACAGTCACAGTGACCCTCACTGACTTCTTAATTTAAATCTGGCAGTACATAAAGGCCACAACAACTCTGAAGAGTCTGGGAGAACAAAAAGGGCTCATAATTATCTCACAGAAAGTGGTGACATGAAAACACACAGTTCACTCTCGTGAATTTTCAGTATGCAAAATGGAAGTATCAGCTGCCACTGGATTCTTGAGGGCATGTGTTCATGCTTTCACTGCTTGTGCCATCAAAATTACTGCACTACTCCATTTTAATCATGTAGAGACAGCAGTCATTTTACTTTATATGCACAGCTAGAGAGATGTATTAAAAGTTTGAGAACACAATGCACCAAATAAGCTTTATTTTTTTATAGACTATGAACAAAAGGCACTGACAAATCTCCCATAGAAGTAAATGCGAGGGGAAAAGTGCTTTTTTTTGCAGGCAAACATGTACCTCGTCAGACAGGGTCTCAGCACTGCTCCTTGTCTCCATTTTGCTCGTTCTTCATCTCTCCTAGTTGGCTTCATGCTCTCTGTGTCTGTTTGCTCCTGTTTGGCTCCCAGGCCTCATCTAGGCTTCTGGAGCTACTGCTGCCAGAAACAGCCATCGCCTGGGGCTTTGAGGTAACAGTTGTCTGGTTTATCTCTCCAGTTAATAATTGTAAGCTGAAGAAAGTTTCTTATTTACATTTGTTTTCACACACATAGCACTGAAGTTAAATATATAGAATCTTATGCTTATTTTTTTTTAAGCAAGACTATAAGCATACGAATCAGGCTGTTGTTTGAAGCTCAGTAAACATAAAGGAAGCAGCATTTTAATAAAAATGAAGAAGTGCATCCTAATCACATTTCAGCACATGTATATTTCATAAGTACATTTTCTGCAAAGCAAATACAGTATGAGATTGCTGTTACACATTTTCTCATCTCCTTAGCTTTTTCATCCCAAAGTAGACTGCCACTGCATAAACTAATGATAACGTGATCCATATTTTCTAATTTATGTGGAAAGCAGGCTAGTAATATAAAGCATTTTACATCTTTGGTATTCTCATCCTTTGCCTTTTTTCAACAACTAGATGATTCTTTTCTATTCAGTTTAATTTTGTGCATTTGACTCTGTACCTTCAGTTACTAAAAGTGCCTGTTTCTGAGGATTCAGTGAGATAGCACGATGTGACAGATACATGGAAGAATAAGAGACAAGGCTTTGAACCCCCTGTTATGCAGGATAGTTGGGTAATGAAGATGTGGGCTCTCCCTTGAGCTGCACAGTGGCTGTGTGCATTCAGCACAACACTGACCTAAAGCTGACATTTGAAACGGAGCAATGAGAAATTGTCATGAAAAAGGCAGAAAAGGGACAACTGTCAGAAATGTTCTAAAAACTCTGGAAAGGCCCAGCCACTAAATGAATTCAAATGAGGGGATACGGCGAGTCCTGCCTCACATGTGTGCACAAGTGGGTGCAGACAGACCACAGCAACAGTACTTTACAGCTTCTGATTTTCTAATCCTCCCTGTATCTCAGAAAGAGTTGGGAATAGGCTGTAATGCTTATGTGAAGGTGTCTGTGACAAAACTTCCTGTTTCCTCATCTGCAGGTTTGTCTGAGACAGACATGGCTTGGGGGATTTTACTTCCAGGTAAGCTCCTGCAGGCAAAGAGCAGCCACCTGAGCAGCACGAAGCAGTGCGTGTCCTTGCAGCAGCCCCCTCACATCTCTGCTGTTTGTCTGCTCTTTGCAACAGAATCTCAGCCATCAGCATCTGCCTGAAATCTTCTTTAGAAATTTGCTATGTGTGTGCTTAT